AAGCGAAAACTGTTTGTCATGTAGTTCACGTTGTATTGAAATCAAGAGGTTAGTGTCCCAATTGCTTGAATTCTCTCATCTCTGACATCGCGTTGGCATGTGGATAGCTTTCATTAAGAAAGTGCTCGCTCGAATAGCTTTTAACTAGGAATCCATACGAAATAGTTATGACAATATATTCATACATACGTTTATTAGGTAATTATGTAAGTGGTGTTCAGAAACAAAGGTGCTGAAAAGTCGATATTGCTTGTTTTCTTTAAACAGCAATACTAAATGTCAGTTTGAAAATATAAACAAAATATTTTGTGGACGGTAAACAGTAGATATAGGTACTTACCTCGAAAACAATAAATAAAAGTATAGAACTTGAACAGAATAACAAAAAATTAAGTTTCACATTTCTTCTTCACAGGTTGACAATGAAAACAAATAACACACCGATGAAGCGAGAATTCCAAGGTGGCTGACAAATGTAAATTTATGGAGATTGCCTCGCCTCTGCCTTTTATTTTCAGGTGGACTAAAATTCCAATTTTCACTCAAATTGCTATAAGCTTTAAGAAACTCGTGCTGAGATGAGTCGACAAATGTTTCGGGTTAACAGCCAGCTCGTAAAATATATTTAATGTTAATGTTTACAATAAAAGATGATGACATAATAGTTACATACATGATATTCAGATAGAAACTTGATTATTTTTAGATAGTTCCACTAATTGTTTACTTCGCTTATCAACATGATAAACGTTATGTTTGTTAAATAAAAAACAAAAATAAATTTTATCATTGGACATGTCATGATATAAACACAAAGTAATAAAATATTATTACTATTTATTGCAGGAAGACCAAGTATAGAGAGACATGAAGAATGTTTTGGACACAATCCTAAGTCAAAGTATGTTTAAGTTACGAAAAAAATACGATACTCAATTGACAAACTGTATTTTAATGCCATATCTGATTACTTAATCACAGTGAATCACTTAAGTAAGTATGTTCCAGGAATAAAAATGTTTTGTCTTGTTAGGGCACATCATTTACTTATCAATGTTTTTGTCAGATTTATTCCTTCATTTCGTTCACATTGTGCGATAGATCGTTTCATCATTATCTACTATTATTACTATCCTTCGTAACAGTAATCAATTTATGTACCTAAAGCTCAGGTATTACTGAGATATCAATGTAACAACAATCCTCCTGTCAGAACAGTCTCTAATACGCCGCTGTCAGTGGCTTGGCCTGCAATTCATTGATACATGAATGCTGACAAGTATTATTATTGTAGTCACAAGCATATAGAACTTCACTCAATACTAACGATTGGCTTTATATGCTGAAGATAGCCACTACCTAACAAATAAAGACCACGGAACGTATATAAGCATGAACTATCGCCAGTTAATTCTTATTTGTTATGTACATTTTTTTAAGGGGGGAAAATCATCGAATTGCTTATCTCCCGCCTGGTTGTGGCGGGAGGTAGTGTCAGACTCTTACTGACCAAAAACTACCCCGTTCCTAATCCTGCTCTTCGAGCCGGGGCCACGGTAACCCGTTAAATTCTCCGCGGCTCCGTATCAGCATCAGTCCTATTGGGATGATGGGGATCTGTGGTGGTCATAAGAGTGGTTTAACTGGCCATTAGTATTATTTTGGCGATATGTATCCATGAAATACAATTTTACTCTTAATTATTATTATGTATTTCAAAGTTAGTTGAAGTCGGCTTCTCTATTTGCGTTCTGTGAAAAAAAAAAACACTGAAATAAACTTAGAGGTCTATCTATTTACAAGTCCAGACATTGACATCTGTGCCCCAAATAAGAATGGACATGTCCAGGTCAGTCCAGCACACTAACTTCAGGTGAAATATTCATGTGCAAAATAGATTAACAAAAATTCGCCCAGATTAAATTGGCTTTCCCATTCACACTCACAGTTTCACTGGCTCTAATCTTCATAAGTCACTCTATCTACTATATCATTGCCGAGTGCCGAGTGCATAGCAGTCCATTCTATTCAGTAACTTTTGAGTTTATTGTGTATAGATAAATACGTATTCTGGGACTTGGTTTATTCATTTTCTATGATGTTCAAGGTATATAAAAAATGTTAATTCCTAGAAGAGGTAGACAGACGTACTCTTGTGAAATATAATTGTAATGAGTCTAAGGTCATATTTTATTTTTTTTTATTTTATTCTTCTTCACAAAACATAACAGTGGATGGCGGACTTAATGCCTTAAGGCATTCTCTTACAGTCAACCATAGGGAAGTGCAGAGAAATAAAGTGGTTGATGCGAAGCCAGAACACATTCAAAAAAATGTTAAGTAATATATATAAATATATTAATACAATATTTTACAAATCTGTATAGACATACATATACTATATAATATATATTGCTAAATATACTGAATATGGATAATTTTATAAAGTTTTAGAAGATAATTCTAACAGGCTGAGATGAATACCTAATACTGACTCGACACAGATTTCAAAATTCAGTATGCGTGTGCCAACTTACTGTTTGTATATTAAAAGTGACTTCAAGCTTAGTAGTAATTGTAATTAACAACATCATTTAAGTGTGGGAGAGCCATGCTTCGTGGGCCGGCTCGACCGGAGTGATGGCCTCATAGAAAACCGACGTGAAGCAATGCTTGCGTTGTGTTTCGTCGTATGAGTGAGGTTACCGGAAAAGGCCGGTAACGCACTTGTAACGCCTCTGGTGTTCCGGGTGTCCATGTGCGACGCCGATTGCTTACCATTAGGTGATCCGGCTGCTCGTTTACAGGCTTATGCCATAAAAAAAATTTTATTGGTCCAGAAAGCAATTTGAAAGAAAATAAATAAATAGATTTGTGTGAATTCCAAACACTCATTTTTTTTCTAAAATTCCGGTTTTAAAGTATAATAGAGTTACATAATACCTAGGTACAGGAATGAAAATACTATTTTTTAAGTCCTACATTTGAAAGCTACGCATCTAAGCATTTAGAACAATACAACCAATGAGGCAGTCACAAAAATAGTATAAAGAAACAACTACCTAATAACACTGGTAAAAAGGTCATATATTTTTGTCTTCAACAAAAAGAGAAATATTTGCCGAGTCAGAGAAAGACTTTAATTAAGATCTTGTCACTAATTCTATAATGGCGGACCTATGTAACAATCGTAATCAATTAAATGAAACTTCATTGATCGATTTTAATTAATTTTAGGGCTGAAACAGTATTTGAATATCAAATAGACTGTATTTGGGGAATCGGTGATAATGAACAGAGACAGCAGTTTCATTCGCTATAAACGACATTTTTTAATTACAATTTGACTAAGCATTATTTCATTTTAATGGCGTCCATTATTCGTTTTTTAAAATCGGGGTGCGATTTTTCATCTGTACTTTTTTATAGCCATTGACTAAATATTTGATAAATAATTTTATACTGGAAGTGTAAGTAACAACACATCATCTTTATATCTACTACTACAGCTTTTTAATAAACAAGTTGTTCATGTTCAATTACAGTCTCTAATGTTTTTGTTTGAGTTAATATCAACCTTCTGACAATTCGTTTGAATAAAAAAAATCATTTAGCTACTTTCTTGTTAATATTTTTGTTGGTTTTATTTGTAATTTTGTTAAAAAATATATGAATTTCTGTATCTATACAATATTACAAGTGATAGTGTATATCACATTAAACGCCATGGGGGTTACCGGTGACTGACGTTAGCAGAGGTAATCCTCTGTTAATAAGTACCTTTAGCAGTTTTATATATGCAGTCAAAACCATATAGAAATCTGTTGATCTAATATGGAAGGTGGCTTAAATTGAGATGCAACCTAAGTATACACATAGCCCACGATCTTCTCATGCAAATTCACTTAAGTACAGTATGGCGGCTATCTCTAAGCCACGTGCTTACTTAAAGTTTCAAGACATCAGCTAAGTAACCCGTGGAATGGTTTACGGAGTCAGAAGGTTAACCTAATTTTACGTCAAAGGATCAAGGCCCTGACTTTTGGAAGACATTTTAGATACTTAGTTTGTTTAAGGCACATTATAATGGGTCTTAATTAACATTTTTTTTATTTAGTTGAGTATGTTTTATGTAATATCAAATTTTTAACCTGGGTTATGTTTTCAATAACTAGGTAATATAGGTACTTATGTCAAAAGCCAAAGTTATAACCTGCCCCTTGTGCAGAGCAAATATTAACGCGTTAGAACCTACCCCGTGCATTTTGTTAAAACTAACCCCACGACCCCATTTTGCACAAAGTTATTGTTTTTATTTTACCGGTTATAAGTAAATCACATAACAATATTTTATTTAGTTAGATCAAATAAGCGTTGTTGAACGGCAAATGAAATGAAAATCTGTTCCATCAAATCGCTAATGAAACTATTTTACTACCACATAGCTCGATTCTTTTAAAGAAGAACGAACAAGAAAAATAGAAAACTATAAAAACAAAATGTCCTATAACGATTTATATTACTGTTGGATGTTCAGAGAAGCGGATACTGTCAGATTTTCAATTGCCACGTTGGAAGACGTCGGTAGTATATTTCCTATTGAGTAATAGAACAGAACTACTAGAGGCGTTAATTGACTTATTGTAAAGACGAGACCCGTATTGACGGATGAAAGGAGGAGCGAACATTGATTTGACAAGGGTATGTTTAATTTCCGCAGGTCGGTTTGTTTAAATACCTTTAGTTATTATTGGATATTTAATACTACGTTTAAAGCATTGTAATTGTAATGTTTTTTCTTAAAGACGTGATCGAGTTTTTTGTTTGTTATATTGGTAAAAAATATTTTTTATAAATACCCATGTCAAATTTAAAAAATAAACTTCTTGATTTTTTGTGTCCACATTAATTTTTATTAGCTTTTGAAAATTGATAAGACAATTTTTTTTTCTCAAAGTAGTTAAATTAATCTTAACATTTTACATTATAAAATCACTTACCCGCTATCAACAGACCACTCAGCATTAAAACAATCATAATGACGGTACCTATAAATAAATAGACAAAAACTATATTTTTAATCAGAACAACTTTATATTTAGAAACTTTCCTAGTTTGAAAATAAAAAAAAAAAACTTTAATATCTATTGTTCACTATTTAAAATTCGAACAGCAATATGTTTCCGATAACAACTATACGCGTGAAACGGGTAAGAAAAGACCGCGTACGTTCCCAGCGGGATCTCGCGCCAAACTGAACGTAGAGTGGGAACTCTTTGGTCCTCGTCGGGAGGAATCCTTCACACAGTTGCCAACATCAACGCAGGTCATATAAGCCAACTGTTCTATCTAACACACGAATTTAATTACGGAAGCTTTGTACTCAGTTCTTCGGAAAAGCTTTATAAATATTTGACGAATTCTGTTTTGATTTAATAAAAAACTCGTACATGTATTTTAAACAACTCTAATATTTTTTTTAAAGAATGTATATTTTTTTTTCGTATATATACGTCCCTATATTTAGAAGTCAATTCTCCGACCAACCGAACTCTCATTTCATTGTGAAAGTTTTGTTTAATGTTAGTACTTCAATCATGAAGAAAGTGTCGAAAGAATCAGGATGTTTGTCAGAAAACTTATTAAACTTACTATCGTTACAGTGAGGAAAAGTATATTTAGGAACCTAGCTTAATAAGTATTTTTTTTAATGCCTTTTTTAGACTGCCTCTTTGGTCGAGTGGTCGCGATTCCCAGGTCGGGCAAAGTATTAGGTACTGGGTTTTTCTCTCTAAAATCTCAATAGTAGCACGGAGTCTGGAAATGTGCCCGGTATATGGCAATAGACTCACCCCCTATTACATGGGACTCATAACATAAATAGTGAAATGTGGGTATTACATTGTATAGTGGCATTAAGTACTTACGGTACACCTCTGCCTACCCCTTCGGGGATAAATGGCGTGACGTATGTTATGTTATGTCTTTTTAAAAAGGTATTTCCAAATATAATTATTGGGCTAGGTATTTGTTAACCTATGAATAATCTGTAAGAAAAAAAACAAAGTAATAAATGGAACTACAGTCATTTATTTTGAACTTGATGCATTTATTTTATAATTCGAATTAAAAAAATGGAGATTCTCAATTTGACCTGTATGTTTGTCTGTTTGTCTGATTATTTCGTGATTGTCTGAATCGAATTTGATGCGGTTTTCAACAAAAGTGTTTATTGCACTTAGAAGGTTTTAGTATTAATTAACCGACTTCAAAAAACAGGAAGCCGAAGTCGGTTTTTTAAACGTTATTTATAAAAGATGACTGCCTCGTTGGCCGATTGGTCACAAAAGCGACTAGGTTAGGGTTTTTAAAATAAATCTCAGTAGTAGCACGGAGTCTGGAATTGTGCCCGGTATATGGCAATAGGCTCACCACTAATTATATGGGACAAATTACATAAATGATGAAAAGTGGGTATTACATTGTACAGTATTAAGTGCATTAGGTGCCGTATAATTTGCACCTTAGCCTACCCCTTCGGGGATAAAAGGCGTGATGTTATAATATAGTTATTATTAAAATATTTTGTTTGAATATCATTGCACAACAGTTGTAACTCCACACAGAGTGACCTGTCGAAACGTCAAGTAAAATAAAAAATGAAAGAACGTTTCATGTTAATTACCGCTCACAGGAAAGCTGGAAAAGTGAGCATTAATTATTTACTAGAATCAGTTTAATTTTTTAAAAGCAAGTACCTATTTATACATATACCATGCCACGATTACTTTTAAACATCAAAACAAGGTGATAAGATCAGTCAATTATGTCATAAGCTTTGACCGTGTCAAGTCGTAATTATATTTTAATGATGCTAATTTTACCAAATCAAATTACCTTAGGTAATTATTTAGTTGAACGATAGGTACTATACAAGATTTAATATTATTATGTTCACATTAGTTATGTTAGGGACCCTTATCAAGCCCTTGTAATTATTATAAATGTGTTTTAAGCTTGAACATATTTGTTACTCATCTTGCAAATATTATTTTTACATAATCAAATTCATCATGAACGTGCCCTTTCATTTTTGCTTTTAGAGAAACAGACTAGGGAGTGGGTAACTTTTACCTCACTAGAACCAACTACGGTGGCCATCATCACATCTTAATGGGGCATTGAATCCTCTATAGCTTATGGCACATCCTTTGGATTCATAGGTAGGTACACGTAATGGTTTTATTCTTGACACCTGATATACAGACTGACGGACAATTCAATTTTGACGTATATAAAAGAAAGTCGGGTTTGTTCCAACACTTATAACTCGAGATCAACTAGACTAAATTTCATAGTTTTTGGTTCATTGGATTTGTCCCCGACCGGAATAGCAAAATACAATAGAATAGAATAGTCGATAAAAAGGTAACACGACATTAATTGACTGTTAAGCGGTACGAAGTTCGCCGGGTCAGCTAGTAAGGATAAATTGAAATAAATACTTTGATTTTTGATAGTGTCTAATATATTAACTCACCTCGTGGTAAGCAATGGTGTCGGTTAGTTTAGCACCAACCCATTCACTCGGGGCTTAAAGAATTGAGCCAATAAATGGCATCAGGCTCACCTCTATAAAAGAGGTCTAATAAAGTAATGGCAAGAAATGTTTGTATTATACACCACAGCTTTAGCTAAACAGGCGTCAGTTTTATACGTATGTAAATACTATATTAAAGTACCCAGCGATATATTCTTAGCTATTATTTCGTATCCAGGCAGATATAAACCCTAGAATTAATCAATATAAATACTTTTTACAATTTATAGTTACTTCGATGAAGATTTTTAGTATTATTTAAAAACGTAGTAGCAGTGATGAGAGAACTTCGAAAGTCGATAAACTTAATAGGTAATATTTTTCTTAATCTAGGAACCTATATCCATTGTTCAACTGTCGAGCTTTCAACAAGTCGATAAACTTTTACACCTACTATTGTGTCTCCCTTCATCACCATTTGTTAGACTTGTTGTTGGTTGACTGTTAGAGAATGTCACTAGGCATTAAGTCCGCCATTGTAGGTATACCTATTGTGCAAAAAGTGTTAAAATAAATAAATAATAGTTGCTTGTGAATATTGTGCCTTCCATGTTCAAATTTAAATTATAATTTACAATACAACACCCATATAATGAAATATGTATACCTATATACTTACATACGTACATAATGTTGTTAATTTAGATAATTATTATATTGTAAAGTTGGTCTGAAATAAAACAAAGGCTTGTTTACTGAAAAATTTGATAAAAATGTTTTATTATTGTACATGTAGGTACAAAGGAATTTCAGTTTGGCGTTATTACAATAGGAACAACAATAGCTATTACATTATTTTAATTTATGACTTTTACTTTGTTACAAAGGTTTCAAATGGTAACCATTACAAGGGACGTTCGTTTATTTATCAGATTCTCAATAACGTTAAGCTCGTTATTACACGAATGGCTTAACAAATGTGAACCTTAAGTTCACCTGAACATTTCTCAGCTGTAACGTTATCAATATACGGTGGCCCATACTATTAGCTTAGATTATATTGGAAAAGTCACCCGACCCAGGAATCAAATAAAAAATACGCTTCTCTGTCAGTAGCAACCAGGCTATAATGAATCAGTGAATTCATATTGTAACAATGTTACAAAGAAAATATATCACGGTATTGTTTCAACAAAAATAATGTGCGAAAATATTCTTTGTTTGTCGTTAAACAAGAATGATATATCGTGTCTGGTAACACTCCATTCCTGCTCAGTTTATTACGTGGCAGACAAACAATATGGCTTTCTAACGATCTAATGAAATTTTATGTTTTTTTTTCTATTAATCTAAGGACCCTATTTCATGAGGACACCATGGTCGCACCACTCAAACTAAATTAGTCTAGACTAGTCGAGCAACTGTAATCAAGCGATAGATTAATTAAAATTCAAATAATTTATTTTCAGATAAGCATCCATAACATGTGTTAGTAATTACAACTTAGACTAATGTTTTTTTTTATTGGTTGTACAGTCATGGTGTCTTGTTGAAAAAGGGCCCTAACAATGTGAACATACATGTGTTAGTCAGGATTACAACGAACATATAAAAGTTAAATGAGTCTAGTGGATCTAGTGCTTGCAAACACGAACGTTGCAAAATGTTTAGCGCATTTCAATTTTGAATTTTTTACTAGTGGATTTGTGGCCGGCTTACCACTTACGGCTCTCCCTAATGGTACGAAAATAGTATAGTTAGTGAAAACAAGGTATATATAGACGAACATATATCACCTGTTTCAACAGTATGATACTATTTGCGACACTCGCAATATGTCGCACCATTTAAATATAAAAAAAAATATTTACGGGTAGCGTTTGTTGAATGTTGTTACACCATTAACTCGTCACAACGCAATAGTATTTACTACACATTAATAATTCCTTACTAACGTATAAAGATGAGCAAAGATAATTATTTAGAGTGGTTTTCCATCCGTACCTAATAATAATGTAATGATATCTTTTCCAGTGGTCTAACGCCAAGATTCACTGAGCCTGAAGGAGTTTTATACAATACATTTAATATTTTTAACGTAGCAAATAAGGCGTTATTTTTACCATGGAACACTTACATCGTTCCATGTTAGACTATAAGATTTTTTTTTATTTTAGTAAGTTTTGTAATTAGTATAATGCATCAAGCGTGTCTTTGCATTGTTCTCACGTACACGTACAGTATTTGAACATGTATCAGAGACATTGTAGAACACACTTTTTTAAAAAGAGTAACGAATGGGGTTTCTTGCTAGTTCTTTTCCATTCGAATCTACATTTCGGAATGTGCATCTAGCTTCACTGACGAACTGACTGACAGACTATTATTTGCTTTGACTTTAACTTTGATCGGGCACTCTATTAAATTATTATAGAGAATTTTGAATACCGGGAAATCTAAAAATCAGGCCTGATCCGAGAGTCTACCCCAACACCCGCTTGTCTCGTAACTGAGAAGGAAATTTATCAAAAATATGGCATCTGAACCGCATAAAATCGTCCTTTCACCACAGCCAATTCTGTTTAAGTAAGACCGCATCGCACGGACCATTTTCTAAAGGATCCCTTAACTTAATAACATGGGCTCTAAGTAAGTTATAAAAGGCTCTTCAAACATATTTTATT